GCGAAATTCAAAACAAAAACAATTGTTTAATTTTGATATTTTCGTCGCCTTTGCGGTTTTAACTATATTTATCTTTTGGTAAATATATCCATTAAATCCGAAACTGTTATTGAATATATTACTTGATGAGAAACGTCATTTTACTAGCTGTTAACATGTTATTAGCTGTTCATGAAAACATTTTCGGATTGTTGATATAATATTACTTAACGTGGGCCATTTTTCTAACTATCATACTCCCCCTAGTGGCTTAGCAAAAAGTCTGCGGACACTAAAAAAAAAAAAAAACATGTTTCGCTACTCGTGGTTGGAAGAGCACAGATAGCCCATTGCGTAGCTTTGTGCCTAACTAGAAACAAACCAACTAATTATCACTATAAATATTACTTAATAAACTATTTATCTAGCTGTTAATATAAAGATAACGGAGTAAGAGTAATTTTCTAGCTGTTAATATAAATATAACGGAGTAAGAGTAATTTTCTAGCTGTTAATATAAATATAACGGAGTAAGAGTAATTTTCTAGATGTTAATATAAATATAACGGAGTAAGAGTAATTTTCTAGATGTTAATATAAATATAACGGAGTAAGAGTAATTTTCTAGATGTTAATATAAATATAACTTAATAAGTACAATATTCTAATATTAATAAAAAGAATTGTGAGCCAATAATATTTTTGTTTAACCTATCAAATAAATAATTTTAATTACTTTATAATTAAAAACAGTCTGTTTCGATATTCTATCTTGTTTTATATTTTACGAAATATGGAGAAAACGATTTCCTTCTGTCTTATGAAGTGTCGCACGTGCTATTCTAGATCCCCCTCAAGTGAGTCTTAAACTTGGCACAAACCTCAAAGTATCAAATATTCAGGAAGGTAAAGACGTGTACTTCGAGTGCAGTGTTCGTGCTAACCCTTGGATTCACGAGCTAGGCTGGCAGTTTGAAGAACAAGATCTCTCTACAAACACGTCAGCGGGTGTCATCATTAGCAACCAATCCCTGGTGCTCCAGAAAGTTCGGAAGGGGTTCAGGGGAAAGTTCACGTGCTCTGGAAGTAACAGCCAAGGCATAGGAATAAGTAACGAGATATTCCTCAAGGTCAAGTGTAGGTTACCTTTTTTTTTTTTCGAAGTCTTCAAATCCTAAAGATCTTGGTTCAAGATGTAAATATTTCTAATATCGACATCGTTTTAATAACAGTAAATAGATTGATAACCTAAAATAATTCAAAACTTGGACATATTTGTGCTAGAAAGATTAATTAATATTATTAACATTGATAACTTAAAAAAAAAACTGAATGAATTACACTAAAAAAATAACAACAACTATAATAATATAAATGAAACAACTAATCCGTTTCGCAGTAATATATCGTTCCTGTTAAGATGTTATAATTAATTAATAACAAGTTTGTTTTATTTGTTTCTTAATCTTAACTTTTCCAGATGCTCCCTTTTGTAAACCTGGACAAAAATCCGTTTATGGTGTAGCCAAGCACGAGCCTGTCGACGTGTCGTGCGAACTCGAGGCCGATCCTGATGACGTCACAGTCCACTGGCTTTTTAACAGTTCTTACAAGAGATCCGACAAAGTGTCGTTTTCCGCTGATCGCACGCGGAGCGAAGCCACTTACACTCCGGAGTCGGATGAAGATTATGGAAAACTGTTGTGTTGGGGAGCGAATGACATCGGAATCCAAAGTAATCCTTGCGTTTTCACAATAGTTCCAGCAGGTAAATGTTACAGTGTCGGGCGTGGCCCCGTCGTATAGCGTGCAGAGGATTCATGATTTGTGTCCCACTGCCGTGAAAACGCCCTCTGCGGTTTGGTCAAATCCCACTATTGGGTCAGACAAGAGCAGCTCAAGAGTTAGTAGGGCCGATTATGCGCAGACAGCTAACAAACAAATCATTTAGGACAGCGCTTTTATACATGCTCTAAAGTCGCCATTTTCAAAGACAGACTATTCACGCATATACTATACTCTGAATGCACACTCTACTCCTCGTGGCTCGTGCACATGCTATACTCAACGTACATATCCCACTTTATACCCTTTGAAAGTTTCTCTAGCGAATAAAACATACAGGTGACCACCAAGTAGCCACTTTTAGTGTCCAGATAGCCACTAACTAATAAACAACAAGAACCATCTAGTCACTATCAAAAACCAAAACCAGGTAGCCACTAACAAGTAATGAATTGTGAGATATGGCCTCAAAGTGAGGAGAGCATTGTTTTTTTTTAATAGTGGGATTCAAACCATGAATTCCTCGTATTCTTAAAGGCAAGTTAGGGTTAAATTTCGTTTGTTAATAATGTTTTTTTTTCTTTAACAAGTAAAAACGTCCTGTGGTTCAGTAAAAAAAATCATATTTACCACAAACACAATCTTCACGATCGGCACTCAGTAGATTACATTCACTTTTAACCCTAAAAACAGGATAAACCAAAACAACCAATTGGTAAACAGTTCCCTCTGGAGCTTTAATATATCTTTAAAGTCAGTTCACATGCTCCATCTTAACAATACATAACTAATAATTAGGGAATTGGTGTCGAAATGGGAAATAAATCAATTTACTCCCTCAAAGGAAACCAATTTATACAATGGATAATATGCAAAGGTAAGCGTTACAGACATTTTCACATATCCTTTTGTTCGCAAACCTGTATACTTTTAAAACAAGAACTTAGAACAATAGAAATAAAACACGTATTATTATAATCACGCGAAAAAACGTCAGAATTTACTCCATATTGCAAGTTAGATAACTTTTAACTTTAAAGACTTGGGAGTCCTTGTGACAGTTGGTAACAATTTGTTATCTTCACAGCCTTAGTTCAGTTCATGGACTTGCATACTGCGCGTGTGTCACACTTTATGACCTGTAAAATTATTATTATTACATGAATTTTTTTAACAAAGTTTCTCACAGCATCTTTTTATAAACATCTGTAATAGTTTGTTATTGGGTATTGTAAGAATAATTTAAAGACATTGTTGGGATTATGGCCGAAAATGTCGATAACAGCTGATGAATTAATGCATTCTAATCACTGCAAGTTATTTCGTGGCTTTGATACTCCTAATTATTGCGGTCTTCTACATTAGTTACATGATTAACTAGGTTGATTCTAAGTTCTGATCCTGCTTGGATCAGAAGCTGTTGATGATGAACAGAAAATGATCGACTCATAAAGTTGTATACATTTCTTTTATTCAGGTCCTCCGGATCCTCTTCGTAATTGCTCCTTACTGAATAAGACAGAAGAATTAGTGTCCCTGCAATGCCTTGAGGGATATAACGGAGGAATGTTGCAACAGTTTGTACTGGAAGTTTACTCAGCAGAGGGCAACACTCTCCAAGCCAACATCTCTTCCCAAGCTCCTTCATTTCTCGTGGACGAACTTCCGTCGGGTACTGCTCTGAGGCTAGTCATATATGCTACGAACCCGAAAGGTCGAAGTTCACCCGTGGTTATGTCAGCCTCTACATTAAGACCCGCTGAAAAATTAACGAGAAAAGGTTTGGGCCATATTTCTATCATTTAAACAATGCTGTTCTCACGTGCATCAATGCTAAATCTAATATAACAATTCATTAATAAGATTCGAAACTTTACACGCTTGATCACGTGGGCTAGTACGACATTTCTGATACCACAAAGAAATACTAAACGAACGCAAACTTCTTTATTGTAAAAGTTCAGGCTTCTCAGATTGGACAGGATTTATTATAATGATAATTACGTGGTAGCTTTCAATTTTGTTGTATTTGCACACGGGGGCTGCGTAATGAATTAAAATCAAATAAAACACTCTGTGTACATAAAACATCGTGAGCAGAATTTTAACTTCGAGTTCGACAACGTGTTTACTTCTGGTCAGTTTATTATTCAAGACTTGACTTCGAGTTCCTGACAGAAGTAAACACGTTGTTTTTCTTATTCAAGACTTCAGCTCCTGTAAATTTATTAAAGGACAAACTGCAGTGTAACTTAAAACTGTATATCACATGACTAATTATTTTACTGCCACGTTTATAGACAAACAACTATCAAGAGGATTTCTAGTATTGTAGTTTTCCCTCAAGCCTTAGTTTCTAGTATTGTAGTTTTCCCTCAAGCCTTAGTTTCTAGTATTGTACTTTTCCCTCAAGCCTCAGTCTCTAGTAGTGTACTTTTCCCTCAAGCCTCAGTCTCTAGTAGTGTACTTTTCCCTCAAGCCTCAGTGTCTAGTATTGTAGTTTTCCCTCAAGCCTCAGTGTCTAGTAGTGTAGTTTTCCCTCAAGCCTCAGTCTCTAGTATTGTAGTTTTCCCTCAAGCCTCAGTCTCTAGTAGTGTAGTTTTCCCTCAAGCCTCAGTCTCTAGTAGTGTAGTTTTCCCTCAAGCCTCAG